GAGTAGGATTAGGATTAGGCAAACAGTAATAGTAGCAGTAGAGGGAGTTGTAGGAGGTAACAGTAGTAGGGGACAGTAGCACTGCTATAAGAGGTAAGCAGAGAACAATTGCAGTAGCTGTAGCAGGAGCTGTAAGAGGTAGCAAAAGCAGGGGCCAGTAGTAGTAGGTGGTAGCAGGTAGCAGTATTAGGGACAATAATAGTAGGTGGTAGCAGTAGCAGGAGCTGTTAGCAGAAGTTGTAAGAGGTAGCAAGGGACAGTAGCAGTAGCAGGAGTTGTAGGAGGTAGCAGTAGCAATAGTAGTAGTAAGGGATAGTAGTAATAGCAGTAGAATGAGCTTTAGATGGTAGCAGGGGACAGTAGCAGGAGCTTTAGATGGTAGCAGGAGTTGTAGGAGGTAGGGATACTAACAATAGCATGAGCTTTAGGTGGTAGCAGGTAGTACTAGCAGAGGACAGCAGCAGTAGCAGGAATTGTTGGTGGTAGCAGGGGACAGTAGCAATAGCAGTAGTAGGAGCTGTAGTTGGTAGCAGGGGAAAGTAAAAGTAGCAGGTAGAAGTAGCAGTAGCAGGAATTGTTGGTGGTAGCAGGGGACAGTAGCAATAGCAATAGCTGGAGCTGTAGTTGGTAGCAGGGGAAAGTAGAAGTAGCAGGTAGAAGTAGGAGTAGCAATAGCAGGAGCAGGAACTGTAGGTGGTAGCAGGGTACAGTAGCAGTAGCCTGACAATAGCAGTAGCTGGAGCTGTAGGAGATAGGAGATAGCAGGAGCATGGCATGCTTATGAGTAGGAGTAGGAGTAGGAGTAGGAGCGGGAGCGGAAGGTAGTAGTAAGAGTATTAGGATTCATATTAGGCAAACAATAGTAGAAGCAGTAGTAGAACTTGTGGCAGGCAAAAATAGTAGGGGCAGTAGCAGTAGCATTAGCATTAGCATGAGTTATAGGAGGTAGCAAGGCACAGTAGTAGTAGTGGTAGTAGTAGCAGTAGTAGGAGCTGTAGGAGGTAGCAGTAGAAGGCTTATGAGTAGGAGTAGAAGTAGGAGTAAGAGTAGGAGTACGATTAGAATTAGGATTAATATTAGGCAAACAGTAGTAGTAGTAGTAGCATGAGTTGTAGGAGGTAGTTGTAGTAGGGGACAATAGCAGTAACATTAGTTAGAGTTGTAGGAGTAAGAACGGGACGGTAGCAGTGGAAGGAGTTGTAAGAGGTAGCAGTAGCAGGGGACAGTAGCAGTAGGTGATAGCAGGGACAATAGCAGTATGTGGTAGTAATAGCAAGAGCTCTTAGAAGAAGTTGTAGGAGGTAGCAAGAGCTATAGGAGATAGCAAATAGTAATGCATGGGACAGTAGTAGTAGCACTAGCAGGAGCTTTAGGTGGTAGTAGGGGATACTAACGGTAGCAGGAGCTGTAGGAGGTAGCAGTAGAAGATTTGTAGTTGGTAGTAGGGGACAGTAGCAATAGAAGTAGAAGGAGATGTATTTGGTAGTAGGGGACAATAGCAGTAGCAGTAGCAGGAGCTGTAGGTGACAATAGCAGTAGCATGAGCTGTAGGTTGTAGCAGGGTACAATAGCAGGTTTTGTAAGAGGTAGCAGTTGGAGTTGGAGTAGTAGGATTATTAGGATTCGGATTAGGCAAACAGTAGTAGTAAAAGTAGCAGGAGTTGTAGGAGGGGGCAGTAGCAGTAGCAGGAGCTTTAGGATGTAGCAAGGGACAGTAGTAGTAGTAGCAGGAGCTGTTGGAGGTAGCAGTAGCAGGCTATGAGTAGGAGTAGGAGTAAGAGCGGGAGGTAGTAGTAGTAGTTGTAGGTTTAGAATTAGGATTGGGATAAGGACTAGGCAAACAATAGTAGTAGCAGTTGCAGGAGTTGTAGGAGGTAGCAGAGGACAATAGCAATAGTAGTAGTAGCAGTAGTAGGAGGTTGTAAGAGGTAGCAGTAGCAGTAGCAACAGACAGTAACAGTAGCAGTAGCAGGAGCTGATCCAATTAACAGTAATCGAAAGGATAATATCAACTAGGAGGCTGAACCTCGAAGAAGAAGATAGCTATATCAGGGCAATTCCGAGATAGAAGCTAAGAAGAACAGAGTAAAAAGAGAAGAGAAGAATTATCATATATCATTCAATGCCTTAAGAATTGTATTACATCTCTATTTATAGAGTTGAATTGAAAGCTAAAGCTACAATCTAATGAAATAACTGCTACTAACAAACTCTAACAAACAATGAACAGTGATAACTGTTTTTGTGACTAATGAACAGTAGTAACTACTTTTTAATATTCCTAATCATCTACGCTCATCTACGCATTGTATCAAAACCCACCAATGGAAACCACCCTTGTCCTCAAGGGTGCAATGCAGGAAACCTGTGCTGCAACTCATACAGGAACTCCCAAGTAGCCTGAGAAGCATCCAAACCAGACCATTGAACCAAGACTTGACACACAGCCTTATTACCCTTTTTGACCATCCGTCTCTCCAATATCGACTCAGGACTGGGACAATAAGGACTTGAAAGATGTAAAATAGGGGGATGATTAATGATTGTAAGCACCTCATAACACTTTTTAAGCTGAGAAACATGAAACATAGGATGAATAAGGACATCAGCAGGTAAAAGCAACTTGTAAGCTACTGCACCAACTCTAGAAAGTACCAAGGACCAAAATACTTTGCATCAAGCTTGTTGAAAGGCCTAGAAGCAACTGAAATCTGTCTGCAAGGTTGCAACTTCAAGTAAACCCAATCTCCTTCCATAAATTGCCTATCAGACTTGTGTTTGTTAGCTTTATCTCTCATGCTTTGTTGTGCTCTAGCTAAATGGAACTTGAGCAGGGCTATCACAGCCTCTCTAGCCTCTAGGGATCTATCAACCATGTCATTAGAAGACTCACCAGCTAAGTAAGGCAAGTGTATTGGTGGTTTTTGACCATACAAAACTTCAAAAGGTGTACATTTCAAAGTAGAGTGGTATGTAGTATTGTACCACCATTCAGCAAGTGGTAGTTGCGTAGCCCAAGTATGAGGACTATCAGAACAAAAACATCTCAAATATGTCTCTAAGGTTCTGTTAAGAACCTCTGTTTGACCATCAGTTTGAGGATGGTATCCTGTCGATTTATGTAGTAAGATCCCCTGTAATGTAAATAACTCTTGCCAAAAAGAACTCAAGAAAATGGGATCCCTGTCACTTACTATAGAAGCTGGCATACCATGCAATCTGAAAACATTGTCCAAAAAACACTGAGCTACAGATTCAACAGTATAAGGATGTGCAATAGCAATGAAGTGACCAGACTTACTGAATCTGTCCACCACTACTAAAATGACATCCTTCCCTTTGGACTTTGGAAGACCTTCAATGAAATCTAGATTGATATCAACCCATACACCATCAGGAACAGGTAATGGTTGAAGCAGTCCAGGGTAAGCTGATGTATCATACTTATGCCTTTGACAAATATCACATTTCTGAATAAAATTCCTAATGTCAGCTGCCAATGACTTCCAGTAGAAGAGGGATTGTAGCCTCTTAATAGTTGCATCCATACCTGCATGACCACCTTGTGGTGTTGAATGCCACAACTGAATAATGGATTGTCTTAACTACAAATCAGACCCTACTAGTCTGCCTTTCCACCTTAGTTGAGAACCAATCCAGGTATAGAATTTATAAGGCTTTGCCTGTAACTTAAGAATAACAGCTTGCAACTCAGCATCAGATGTCCATGTTAGGCTAATTCTCTCCAAAAGTGTATCATTAGGAGTCAAGAGTGAAATAGCCAACAACTCAGCACTTTGATTTCTTGACAATGCATCAACAGCCTTATTGTCAATCCCTTTCTTGAACTCAATAGTAAAATCAAAGGCCATCAATTTAGAAATACCAGCAGCTTGAAAATCAGTATGAATACTTTGTTCCAGGAGATGTTTTAGTGCCTTTTGATCAGTTCTCACAATGAAATGTCTTTCTAAGAGGTAATGAGACCACTTAGTAACTGCAAATATGATGGCTAATAGCTCTCTATCATACACACACATAGACTGATGTCTAGGTGCCAATGACTTACTGATATAGGCAATTGGATGCCCTTGCTGCATCAAGACAACACCAATTCCTGAACCACTTGCATCAGTCTCAATTATGAATGGTTTATCATAGTCTGGTAATGCTAAGACAGGTGCAGTCACTAGTGCATTTTTGAGAACATGAAAAGCTGTAGTAGCACCCTCATTCTACACAAACTTATCCTTCTTTAATAATTCAGTGAGAGGTTTAGCAATGGATCCAAAATTCAGAATGAACCTCCTATAATATCCTGTTAAAACCAAGAAACCCTCTCAGTTGTTTGATATTTGTAGGGACAGACCAAGCATGTACTGCAGAAATCTTCTTAGGATCAGTGGCTACCCCTTTAGCACTGATGAAATGACCTAGGTACTCTACCTCAGGTACCCCAAAAGCACACTTAGAACCTTTGGCAAACATCTGATGTTGCTTCATCAAATCAAACACAACTTGTAAATGGTTCGTTCACATGGGCTGACATATCCTTGCTGTACACCAATATATCATAAAAAAAAATCAGTACTGACCTCCTGAGGAGTGGTTTAAATACAACATTCATAAGACTCTGAAATGAAGAAGGTGCATTTGTAAGACCAAATGGCATAACCAGAAATTCATAATGTCCTTCATGAGTTTTAAAAGCTGTCTTATAGATATTTGTTTCCTTTATCCTTAATTGGTGGTAACCAGCTCTAAGATCAATACTTAGAAAACACTTCAGCTCCTCCTAGTTCATCTAACAAATCCTCAATGATAGGAATAGGAAACTTGTCCTTTACTGTCAGTTTGTTGAGATCTCTATAGTCTACACAAAGCCTCCAACTCCCATCCTTTCTTCCCAACAAGGACTACAGGTGAGGCATAGGGACTAGAACTAGGTTGTATCACACCTTGATCTAGCATTTCCTGCTTCTCAATAATATCTTTCTTCATTAAGGCCTTTTGTTAACAGGAGTAGCTGAGTCAATGAGTGGTATTTTGTGATCAAAGATGCCTCTATAAGGGGGCAATCTACTAGGCATATCAAAGAGGCACTTGTACTGTTCCATTAAAACAGTTAATGTAGGATGAATATCAGTACCTTGAGTTACTTGTATACTGTTGCTTTGCACATTAGAGGTTGCATCTGTCACCAAGGTTAGCATAAAGACCTGAACTAAATCAACACTCTTTTTGTTTAAGGATTGGGTCTTGGTGGTCTTGATCTGGCTACTGGCTCCCCTTAAAACATGTTTCCTCCCCAAATGCACAAACTCAATAGTTCTATTTCTGAAATCAAACAAAATCCTACCCAAAGTGTTTAACCACTGCACACCCAGCACTATGTCAACATTCCCTAATGGTAGTAGTAGGAAATCAGAAGAAAAAGTTGTACCCTGCAGTAACCACTTCAGATTTTTACACACTGCAGCAGTTTGAACCTTCCTACCATCAGCCACACTAACTGATTGCTCATGTATAGGCAAAGCTTACAACCTAACTTCCTTGCCATTGACTCATTAATGAAATTATGAGTACTACCTGTATCAATAAGCACCTGTAAGGGTTGTTTTTCATGGTATCCAGTTACTCTAATTGTTTGATACCCTGTACTTCCAGTAAATGCTTGTAAGGAAATTGTCATGCACTCATCCACTTCTAACACATCTTCCTCCATGATTACCTCCCCATCCTCCAGAACTTCAACCAAATATAATTGTTTCTTGGATTTACAAACATGCCCAGGCATATACTTCTCATCACACAAGAAGCATAGTTTTTTAGCCCTTTTCTCATTCATCTCAGCAGCAGTCAATAATCTTCTACCAGTATTACCATTATTGAACCTGTTAGCATTAGGTTCATAAGGTTTCTTGATAGTTATGCTAGAGAAAGTAGGTTTTTGTACACCCTGAAACCTAGATGGAGTAGGGAGAAGACCATTCTGATTCCTGCTATTTCTAATTCCCCAAGACTTAGCCTGAGCATCAAAAACCTCTTCCTGCAACTTAGCTAACTTGTAGGAAGCGCATTCTAACAGCCTTGTTGAGCTCAATTTTTAACCTTCAGCATTTTCGTTTGACAAATTAACACCATTCAATAACCTATCAAACTCAGCCTGATATAGAACATCCTCAGTTTGTTGTAGATTTTTAAGTGCTTCCATGGAATCTTCAAATTCTTCCCCAAATCTTTCATTAACAGCCAACACATACTCAGACCAAGAAGGGTCTATAACTGAGTTCCTAGACTTCTAGTATGATCTATGCCAAGCAATAGCTTCACCATCCAAATGGATAGAAGCTACTCTCACCCTCTGATCATATGGAACTTCATCTATGGCAAAAAACTGATCCACCTTATATAACCATGCCCTCAAATCCGACCCCGAAAATCTAGGAAAATCAAGTTTAGAACATCGGGTAAGAAATTTACCATTAGAATTTTGGAAATTCCCAGCTGCATTGCAAAACCCCTGTTCTCTGTTTCCACCCACAAATGATTCATCTCTATTTTGATCCATCTCCTTGTCCTTCTGTTTCGCATTTCCTAGGGCTTGCTTCAACTCCATTAATTCCTTATCTGTCTGTACATTTCTATCATTGATATTCACCATACATTCCATTAACTTCTGCAATTGTTCCTGTATTTGAGACAATTTTCCCTCCATTTCCTCTGAAGATTTGTCTTGATTTTTTTCCCTAGCAACCATGATTTCTTAGCCGAGGACCAACAACTTTGATACCAATTGATCCAATTAACAGTAATCGGAAGGATAATATCAACTAAGAGGCTGAACCTCGAAGAAGAAGATAGCTATATCAGGGCAATTCCGAGATAGAAGCTAAGAAGAACAGAGTAAAAGAGAGAAGAGAAGAATTATCAATGTATCATTCAATGCCTTAACAATTGTATTACATCTCTATTTATAGAGTTGAATTGAAAGCTAAAGCTACAATCTAATGAAATAACTGCTCTAACAAACTCTAACAAACAATGAACAGTGATAACTATTTTTGTGACTAATGAACAGTAGTAACTACTTTTTAATATTCCTAATCATCTACGCTCATCTACGCATTGTATCAGGATCAAGGGCAGGGGAATGCTTATGAGTAGAGTAGGAGTAGGGGCAGACTTAGGAGTAGGAGTAGGAGTAGGAGGGGGAGGAGCAGAAGCAGGGGTAGAATGTAGGAGGTAGCAAGTACCTGATAGACTAGTCAATGTGCATGCAAGTTGACCTTCGCAACTACTATTATTGAAAGAAAAACTATATCCTAGTGAAGGGATTAATGGATATTCATCCCTTTTTGTGATAACACCGTTGGATATCCTATCTTAGATTTGACTCATTGGATCTGGTTGTGAATTTGTTTTTCATTAAAAGATAACTCACTATTGAACAATGTAAAATGGTGTAACAAAAAAAGAATGATAAGAGCTGTCTATGTCCCAAAATTATCGGAGCAATCTATGTCCCAAAAGTCAAGGACCTTAAAAACCCAATGAGTTGGCTTTGATGGGATTTTGCGTTCCCACTTCCCATTTGATAGTACTAAGTTCATCTACGTGAAACAAGTGTTGACATGGTTTCTGGGTGATTTCCAGCCTAAAGATCAACCTCAGTAAATATGAGATCTTCCTCATTGGCAAGGTAGAGAATATTGAGGCCCTACCTACCCTTCGGGGTGGCCCAGTGGTTTGGGCTTGGGACTTCCATGTTGGAGGTCTCAAGTTCGAAACCCCTTGCCAGCGAAAGCAAGGGCGCCTTTTGGGTCGAGCTCATCGCACTGCGCTTGCCTAGTGCGGGTTACCTCTCCTATGTGGTTTGCAAGCTATTGCATAGAGGCGGGGGTTTTACCCTGTGCGCACCCAATGGGTAGCGGCTGCGGGTTCCCTTGTCATAAAAAAAAGAATATTGAGGCCCTAACTTATGTGTTAAAAATTGTGAGGTTGGGGCTCTTTCCATGACTTATCTTGGCTTACCCTTAGGAGTATCTACAAAGGACCAAGCAACTTGAAACTCGGTGATAGAAAGGGTAGAGAAGTGGCTTGCTAGTTGGCAAATAGGTACTTACAAAAGGGGGAAATGAAGTGTTAATCAAGAGCACGTTAGTATACATATTTTATGTCATTGCTTCATGCTCTGCTCAGTGTTACGGGGAAGTTGCATAAACTTCAAAGGTTTTTCCATGGCATGGTTTAAGCAGGAAGGGAAAAGTTCCGCCTAGTAAATTAGGAGTTTGCACCACTCCATAGTGTTGGGACTTGGGATTATTGATCTAAGGGGTTGTTTGGTTCGCTGTCTAAGTTATCCCTAGTCTTGGGATTATAATCATTGGACTAATTCATCTCACCTGGGAGATGGGATAAAATAATACCAAGTTGGAAACAATGAAGAAACTCATAAATTTAATTTTTATCATAGTAGTGGAAACAATGAAGAAACTCATAAATTTATTTTTTATCATAGTAGTGGAAACAATGAAACTCATGGAAATGAAGTAATGAGATTTCAAGGATAACGGAGGGATATCATGACACTCGGAATGTAATACATGAACACTTCACCACTTTCATGTGTAATTGAAGGCAGAATTCACTTATTGAAAAGATTAATCAGATTTGAAAAACCTTGCCTGGGGAGAACAAATAGAAATTAGTTTTACGGACCTTAATCGCTCTAATAGATCCAAAGGAAAAACCCAAATTTTAAAGATCCCCCAAATCCTCATTTGAACCCTTGAGAAGGGTTTTCTTGAAAACCCTATGTTTTAGAGTAGAATCTCATTAAGAACCCATATACGAGTGTAAGAATAGAGAATAGTCGTGCTAGGGCTTGGAGAAGTGAAGAATGCGATAAAAATGTGAAGTAGTGAAACTTTCCATCACCTACTGTACAAAGATGAAAAGAAATGCCATGACCATCTTTCTGCTCTTTGTGATATTCTATACTAAACTTCTTTGTTTTAATGAAATGTTTCTGATACCTAAGAGCTCAACATTTCAGTTACCATAGTTTCAGACATGGTGCTACTTATCCACACCTAGACTTGTTGTATTGTTAAACCTTAGATCTGTCATTTGTTGCATTGTTAACTTAAAGCCTAGCTTGTGGAATGCATACTTCAGTTGTAGATTATGAATACTTCAGTTGTAGAGTTCGGTTGCTTCTTTTAGTGACCATTATTTTAGAAAGAACTTGATCAGATACTTTGTTGCTCCATTATTTACAATTCACCTAGCTTGTTATCCTTACGCTTCACGAAGGTATATTTTATTGTTTTATCAGAGCAGAGAAGACTTCAATTCTGTCTGATCTAATCAGGAAAACACATGCTCAAGAAATGAAATGGATTATAATGATAATTCTCAAAGGTTTGATATTTTCTTGCCAATGCTTAAACTCTAGGATCTCCTTCGGCCAATGATGTCAATTTGCCACTGATTTTGTATCATTTAGATCTGAAGTTGGGAATTAGTGAAAAGAGCATCTTTTACTAATTCCATCCAGATGCAGAGGACTTGCTCAATGTCACATGCGATTTTAAACTAGTTTGTGAAAAGTTGAGGGACAGAAGTCAACGGCATAAACACCAGGTTTGCTTCCTGTTCTCATATTGAACCTTATGACATACTTCTTATCGTGACTTGGTACTTTTGGTAGAGATAATGGATCTTCCACCAGTTGATTTTAAAGTAAATTTTAAAATCTCATCGTTTTTACCTTGGTGACTAAGGTATTGGCCTACAATTTGGTAGATATTTGTTCATTGCTTGCATTTGGTGACAATTCCTATAGTAACTTCTTGTCCAAGAGATGAGCAAATGCTTTATTTCCTTAATGAGAGCTATGTTGCGCGGACTCTTCATATTTGCAGGCGAACCCGTCTCGATGCGACACTAGTGCGGGCGCGGGTGCGGGGTGTGTGTCGAATTCGGTCAATCCAATTCGGACACTTTGACCGAAGCCGAGAAAAGATTTGGGGAAGAAAAAATCAGTTTCCAACGACGTAAAGAGCACAAAGCTTGAAAAAGTACATAGAAGAGAAGAAAGAAGAGAAAATCAGTTTTCGGCGACGTAAAGAGAACAAAGCTTGAAAAAGTACAAAGAAGAGAAGAAAGAAGAGAAAATCAGTTTCTGACGACATAAAGAGGACAAAGCTTGAAAAAGTATAGAGAAGAGAAGAAAGAAGAGAAAATCAGTTTTCGGCGACGGCGACGTAAAGAGGACAAAGTTGAAAAAGTACAAAGAAGAGAAGAAAGAAGAGTTTTTTCTTGAAAGAGTAAAGGAAATACAGAGTCTTGTTTTTTATCTTTCTTGAAAATATATGTACACAATTACATACACGGTCTCTTGAAAAAAAGAAAGCTCAAAAAGTCTTCCAAGTACAGTAGCGTCAGAAAGATGACATCCCATCAGCCATCAACTAGTCCAAAAATCTTTCCATTCTCACCAACTTACATGTATAAAGAAAATAGGAAAAGAGACGTTAGAAAAGGAGAGAAGGAAACACTATTTTCAAAGATAAATATTTTGTCCATATAAATAGGACGAGTTGGATTGAAAAATGGGATCTAACAATATTATAGAGATTTTTTATTTGAATGGTGCTTTATGTGTAAATATTTACTTGCATGAAATAATTACTGATTAATATTACTATTATTAAGTAAATATTTTTAAATACATGCTAATAATTTACATTAAATTTGAATCAAATTCTAATTTGGATTAATTTTTTTAATTTAATTTTGGATTAATATTTATATTGATTGATTTCTTGTTTTGGTTTCAGATTCTAGAAAAAAGAAGAAGGGAGAAACCGAAAAACACCAAATAATAGAACCAAAAAAATTCAAATCGAAAAGAGAAAAATCAAACCAAACCAAATCAAGTTTCACTCACAATATAATATCCAGATCAAGGATCATGTCTCTCTAGATCACTTAATTCTTCCTATCAATACAAGCGCTTTAAGGATCCCGTCTTACTAGCTTTAAGGATCCCGTCTTACTAGTTTTTCGACACGTGCGTTGCACGTGATTACAAATTCAGAAAATATATGTTATAGTAAATAGTATTTCTTATTTAAACGAAGATTCGAATAATAAGTTTTGTACAAAATAATATTGCAGATTCTTTTGTGAATGTTCAATGCGGATAACCATATATATCTCTTATTCACGAGAACCTATAAAGATGGTCAATGAAGTATTTTATTAGTTAAATGTAATAATGTATATATTTATTTCAAGTTGATGAGGTTCAATCATGTAATTAGTCGTATCTTACTAATATTACCTTATAGACAATATTTGTTGTGCCTTTTCTTGTCAAAATATTTTTAGTTTAGCAAAGATTCTTATCAAATCACAACAACAACAATAATATTATACTCAATGTAATTCCCCAAGTGAAATCTGGTTCTTATTAAGTTGAATAATATAATATATAAACAAAGTTAATTCAGAAAGCAAGGTGGATTTTGAAGTTCTGATTTCGGTATTCAGTTTCTTTATCTTCTTACTTTTAACCACTTCCCTTTTTCTGATTTGTAAGCTAACTTTTCACTGAAAGGAATTTTGTAAATCCAAATATTTATGCTCCAGTTACCTCACTTTCCTCAGGTGCAACATCCTTTATTTTGGCCTATCTCCTTCCAAATCAACATCTTTTAGCCAATTCAATATTCAGATTAATGATAAACCAAGAATACT